TGCAAATTAGCCCTATCCCTGTGAGTTTCTGAGCAGTTGGAACATCTCGGTTCTTTGATCTCCAGCATCTCAGCACTGTTTGTTGAAATGAATAACTCGGCAATCTAAGAAAAGAGCTAAATCTGGACTTCTGAAATCATCTTTGTTCTAGGGTGTTGTGTGCCCATTTGTTCTTTTTTTGCTTTGTTCTGGACTCCCACTGATCAAGAGGCTGTCCTAAAGCCTCAGAAGAGATTTTGGCAGGTGGTGATACTTGCCTGGCTGTGAGTTGCCCAGTTTGGTGGGGTGGCCTTTGGGGTGCAGGTGGGGGGGGCTGTGTCTCTGTGCGCCCAGGAAGCAGATGGCATTGCTGTCTCACACAGCTGAGTGTGCTGCACTGTATTTGGTGGCCATGTTGAGTGGCACCACAGGAAAGGACTGTGCCCTTCAAGACCCCCCATGACACATTGGCTCCAGCTGGGCATCTCGGGGACACTCAGAGCTCCTGAGCTCACCTGAAGATCCTGAGAAACGGGGACATTGGGGGATTCTGGAGATTGCTCAGCTTTGGAGGGTAGAACAGGAAGATAAAAGGATAATGTCTCTTACTGAGTGGGGCTCCCCAGCAGGGACTCCTCTTCCTCAACAGTGTTGTAGCAGAAGTGGATGGGGTGTGTCAAGCCCTCCCAGAATGGGGTGCAGTCTTCTGCGCCCTGGCAACTCCCGGTTTATCTGCAGTTTCATGTAGCCTCTCTGGGGACAGAAGAGTGGGTATACTCTCTGTGGCTGGGACTCCCATGGTGCCACTTCGTAACATAGTATTTGAATGGTAATAAGCATTTGTCTTAGTTAACTTCTGCATGCTCTGTGCACCTGAAGAGGATTGAAACCAGTCTCTTAGTTCAGTATCCCACATGCAAATTCTAGATCCTTGTCGTTTGCTGCAGTTGGAACTAACACTGTGATGTCTTTCTGTGTGTAACCTCATCTTGGTCTGATTCAGGGTTGTATGCCCAGTTGAAGGCTGGTGTCAAAGGGAAAAATGAGCAGGAATTTAGCTTAAAGAACTAATTTGCCTTATTGTGTTTCTGGAATTGGTTGACACCCCATTCTGTAAAATAGAATGTCTATTCAAATGAGCTCAGCAGAGGGGATTGTCTTTATAGGCAGAAAAGGGCTGAAGACAGCACAAACAGAGGATGAAAGGTGGGTTGGCCATTCCAAAGTTGGTTTTCTTAGAGGGTTTAAATGGAATTTTCTTATTGTGCTCAATAGGAGCTTTTGTCTAATTGACTGCTGTGACTCTTTTTTTTTTTTTTTTACAATCTTTACATAGTTAATTAGAGCACAAAGGGTCAAGGGCTGCAGGAAAGAAGGTAAGACTATTATTTCCACATTTCTTCCCCCTGTATTTGGGGTAAGTGGGGACATAAAGGGAGAAACCCCATTCAGCCTCCCACCCATCCCAGGTCCCCAATGTGGGGCATGCTCCGAGGTTCCTGCTCAGGTGGTTTTGATAGTTCAGAAGTTATGAATTGCTGCCAGTCTCGCCATTCCAAGCATGATGAAGTCGCTACAGAATCCACTGATTGACACAGTCCACCTTAGAGTCTCCGTTTGCCCAGATTTTCACTGCCAGTACATGGTTAGGGTAGTTGATTGATTTGTTCTGTCCTCTGTTGTGGTACCAGGTATCCTCTGCAGGTCTCGATGGACTGCCATATCCTCCATGTGCACCTGGTTATGCTCCCCACTGCTCCATCTGAGCCTCTGAGGAGGCTCGGCTCTGACACTTGCATTCCATAGGCAGACTATGGAACCTGCACTTCTCTTCATGGTTAGGGTTCTGAGTCTGGCAGTTTGATCGGGGAGATCCCCAAATCAAAGATCACCTTTGTCTGAGGTGATCCCAGACATGATTCTTGTGTGTACTTGCAAGTACAGGGCCCGGTACAGTCCATCACCCCAATCAGCTGGTGGTTGCAATTGCTGGGTCAGTTCTGTTTCCAGCCCTGTCTTCCACTGGAACCAATGGGTGTTTCAGTCTAACCCGATTCTGCCCAGCACACACCTGGCCCCCACATAAACCAGTGGGAGCTGCGGCCTAGTCGGAGCGACCCGTTAATAACCCTTACCAGGCCTGCCCCCTACCCTGGTTCACGTGCTTGCCAGTATGTGTGGCAGATTAGTCCAGTCTGTTCCACATCCCATTCAGCTCTCATGCATGTCAATGGGCATTGAAGCCTAGTTCAACCCAACTGGGCCCACTATCCAGCCCACGTACATGCTGACTGATATGACTCATGTGTTGCTGGAAAGCTCCTGTTTCACATTATTAATAAAGACTTTATGTATTTATTTCAAAAACAGATACAAAAAAGAGAGATGGCTTCCATTCAGATGGCTGTAGTGCCTGAGACAAGGATAGGATAAACCCAGGAACCAGGAGCTTCTTTTGGGTTTCTCAGGTGGCTGCCAGGGCTCAAGCAGTTAGGCCATCCTCCACTAGTTTCCCAGATGTATAAGTAGGTAGCTGGAATGGAAGTGGAGCAGACAGAGCTCAAACTGGTGCCTCTAAGGGATGTCTGTGCTGCTGGCAGTCTTAATGCACTAAACCAGCACCAGTACCAGCCTGTTTCACTTGGATTTCTCAGCACTTACCATGACTGACTGCATTCTTTCTTCCTTGGCCTCGTACAGGAGGTCTTTCTGTAATAACACTGTTTAATCCTGGTAACCATTTGAGTGAGATGATGAGCTGTTAGATTTTGTGGCCAGGACTGGCAGCTGAAAGTATGGGCAGTCATGGATCTCCGTAAGCTTATTACATCAGAAATTGATCGATCTCTCTTTGAGGTTTAGTTGGCAAGTTGTTATTCATATTGAAAGTGAAAGAAAATAACCCTGTACTTAAGTCCACGATACATATTTTTTGAATGAATAAAGTAATCAGAACATGGAGAATTTTAGGGGAGAAAGATGGAGACAGAGAGAGAGAGAATCTTCCATGTGCTGGTTTACTCTCCAAATGGCCAAAGCCAGGAGCCTTGGAACTCCATCTGGGTCTCCCGCAAGGGTGACAGGGACCCAAGGGCTTGGGTCATCTTCCAGGTGCACTATATCAAGGAGCTGTATCAGAAGTGGAATAGCTGGAACTTGAACTGACGTCCGTACATGATGGTGGTGTTGCTGGTGGCAGCATAGCCCCTCTGTGCCACAATGCCAACTCCTAATTAATGCAGTTTATTAATTATTCAAATAAAAATGCACTTAATTGAGTATCAGTGTTCAGTGAATGCTGGTTAACATTGTTAACTTAGAGCACTATCCCTTTTGCCACTCATTTAATATGTATTTATGTTTTTTATTTCTGCCCAGTAGATAAAGCTTTCATGAGCATGGGTGTTATATTATTACTAAACGTTTTAGCCTCAACTCCTTATAAAGGCTCTTGAACTGAATAGTGGGGCCAGCAAAATGTATTCATACTGGCTTTTATTTAAAAGTACAGGTCTGGGGGATTGAAGCCTGTTTGATCAGCCCAAATGACTATGGGAAGAAGCCTGGTGATTACTGTTGTATCGTGTTAGACATATGCTGCTTGTTAGAATGTTCTTATTTGACATTCATATGAGATGCATTCCTCTGTGGCTAATAGTGGCTGTCTGTCTCATAGTGCGTGACAGTCCCATAAATAGGACTTTCTGTGTGAGTAGTTAACATTGGTGGCGTGATCTCGTGGATAGATGTGGAAAGAAGCAGGTGGAGTTTGAGCCTGCTTGAGGAGGGAGTGCTGCGGCGTGAAGGAGGGAAGCAGAGCTATATCTGGAGCATGTGCGAGTGCTGGAACTGTGCTGGCTTCTGAGTTCTGGAGGCTTAGGAGAGGCAGCAAGGACCAAAATAGCAAGTAAATCCAAATACAATCAGATTAGCAACAAATCACTTAGACACAACCTGTTCCCAGGTGAAACATTTTCACATTACAGAACTCCTTATTTCATGTGGACTTTGGATGTTGCAAATGAGTATAATTTATAGGACATGTTGCTAGGGAAAACTTCATATTATCCTAGACCTTATAAAATGTCCTATGGGCACCACTGAGTATCCTGTGCGGCTGATGCAGTCACTTGTGTGGTCAGAGCACAGGGGAGTACAAGCCAGGGTTAACGTGAACTGCTTGTGAGGAGGTGGTCTGATGCAGCCGAGGTCAGCTGAGCACAGGTTGGTTCATGTAGCTGTCAGGCCACCCTGCACCCTGCTTTTGCTTTTTAAGGTAAAGCCGTTTTTTTCTGCTCACCCATTTTTTTCCGCTCACCCATTTTTTTCCTTTCTTTCTTCCCAAATCAGTTGTAATTCCCAGTGGGAAACTGTATCATACGTTTTGTTACCTTAACCCTGCAGCGCATTAATAAACAATATTTATGAGATTTCTGTGTTGCCTTGTTGTGAATATCCAGCATCTTGGAAACATTTTAGAGGATCTTTCAGCAGGCATGAAGATTTTACTACTCTCTTATCCCTCCCAGTTCTGTTAAAATATTTATAAAATTGTCATCAAGATTTGAATTGAATTTATATATTGCTGTGGGAAAAATGAATTTAAAAAAACTCTTTGAAGGCGCAGTTCTTATGCAAACAATCACATTATTCAATGCATTGCGTCGACAGGAACAAAGCCTATAGTGCGTACATTATTGAGTAAATGAAGTGAGTAGCGCCGTTGAACATACCTGTAATATACTTGACTTTTTGTTTTTCCGCCCTTTGGCTATTATTTGCTGAGTTATTAGCGTTAATTTTAGGGATTAGAATTTAGAAGTGTACATAAATTCATACACTCTGTTCGCTCCTTGTTTAAACTGTTTTAAAAAGGACTAGTTCTGGGATCTGAGTTCCACTGATGAATTGTAAAAATGTGAAATTTGAGTAGAATACTATTTTGAAGACTTGAGTATGGTTTGCCCAGCAGTGTTTAATATTTCTCTCCTTCTCTTTAGTTTTGATTTTGATGTCACTGCTGATGTCTGAGCCAGTAGTGGTAATGCTACCAGAGGCAGCCTTCTGCAACCCCTGAGTCAACAGCTACATGGTAAGAACCTGTGCTCTTCACCCTTAATGCCATCTAATTTCTGTAACATTGTAACTTAGAAATTGTATAATATGTTAATATTTTTTAAGATTAAATATTTGGTGTCAATATGTTTTAATGTGTAAATATCAGCAGCAGAGAGCTTTAGCTCATAATTAATAATTGAAGACTTTCAAATGTAAAAGAGTAATTTGGTAGCAATTTTTGTGTGCAAAGCAAATGCCAATCCCTCTTGTGGTTTCCTAACCAGCAGGCCCCCTGCGACCTCTGAGTGGGTGAGGCAGTGATGTTCAGTAGCATGAACAACCAGAGGCAGTGTGATTGAGCATGTCCATTTATTGTAATGCAAGCAAACTTATGTAGCCTGAGAAAGAGAAGGGTAGAAAGGCGTCTCCCAACAGTCCTCCCCACCCAGCAATGATACTGTAATTGACTAAAAGGCATGTCTGTCTGTCCGGATCCTCCAATCATGTCATAGGTCATGTGCAGCACTCACGGCTGGCAGGTATACCCAGGTCATGTTCACCATGTGTGGCTGTGGGTCACTTTACCAGGTAGGTTGGCAGGTAGAGCAGACCGCACCTGACTCCTCAGAGTTGCTTATCAAGGAAGTCCCAGCACAGCTTGTCCAAGGACAGAGGAGAGACTGGGCTACAACCCACCATCCTCGCCTGTATGGCCAGTGATCAGGCCAGGTTGAGGTTTCGGTTAGCAACACTGTTGTCAGGGGTTCCCCCGGGAATACTGTGTTCCCGTGCCTGTTACCTCCCGCAGAGCCAAGCAGGCAGAGATCCTGGGCGATCTCACAATACTTATTCAACTGAGTTCTCGTTTTCCACTCTTTATTTTTTGTCCATTTAGTTTTTAATTTTCTGGAGTGTAATGACTTATTTATTATCTGAATCTTCCTGTGAATGAATATGAAGTTATTATAAACCAAAATTTTAAAAATCTTAATTGGTTTTAATGTAATTTAATTTACTTAAACTGTAAATTTAGACAAAAGTGTCTAAAATTAGGTTTTGGATTTTTTGTAGATTTCATTGTTCTGTATTGCTCCATCTTTGTGGAGTACATTAAGGAGCAACAACATCTGGCAGACCAATAGGACAGTGATTTGGCTTTCTGTCACTCCCTCCCTGTGCAAGGTCTTGCTTCTGTGTTCTGTCGCTCTTAAAGAGAAGTGAAATTCACATGAGGTGTGGAATTTCGATCCCTCCCTTCCCTCCACCCCAGTTGGTGCCTCTTTTTGGATGGAGAGGGACAGAGTAACCAGTGTTTTGGTTTCGAAATGGGGCTGAGGGAGAACATGAGGCAAGCAAAGGTTACTGCACCAGAAGCTAGAACCTGAGCCAGCCCTGCCTCATCTTGACCTGGGGGAACTGAGTTCGATTTCCATACTTCTTTCACTTTGCAGGCTAGTTTTTTTTTTTCCAACTTTATTATTATTATTTTTTTAAATACATTTCATTTTGTGACACAGTTTCATAGGCTCTGGGATTCCCTGAACTCCTCCCCGTGCCCTGCCCCCATGGTAGATTCCTCCACCTTACTGCAGTATTACAGTTCAAATTGAGTCAAGATTCTTTCATTGCAGGCATATACCAAGCGTAGAGTCCAGCATCTTATTGTCCAGATACATTCAGTGATTTCTTGGGGAGACCATCTCTGGTCTGAAGACTGAACTGGTAGAATATCATCCTGGCCAATTAAAAGCCCCAACATAACATCAACAACAATTTACAACATTATGGAATCCATTGACATGGTATTGAGTAACCAATATGTTAAAAAAAGTGCAAATTCTTAACCAATTCCTATGACTACTTCATTGACATTTCAATTTTAGTTTATAAACAGCCGGCTTCTATACACCTTAAAATGGCTATAGGGTACTATTCAGCTCTCTTGTGTCTATTTTCATTTCAGTATTTAGCAGTCTATAGTTTTGAAGCATAATTTTTACTGAACTTGGCAGATTTTAGGGTAGTCCAAACTGGTTTATAACTCTAACAAGGCATATATCCACAGTTGAGATGTAGAACAGTTTTAGGAGGGGTGTGCAGAGAAATCTTCAATGCCTTAGTAGGGAGTAACTTGTCTTTGTGTCCTACCCAGTAAGGTATATGTGAGTCCAGGCTGACTGTTTCCTGTCTGATTCCAAGCTTTCCCGTTAGTTTTTAGGAATATATCTCTGGAATTCAGATAGAAGCCAGGGCTTTTGGGAAGTCCTCGTGTATTTTGAAATTCACTATCACATTTAGAAAACCTATGAATCGAAGACAAAATCACAAGGAGAATCAAAGCATTTTGAATTGAATGAAAATGGAAACATCAAAGCAGAGGGTATAAAGCACTATGCTTTGGGGACGTTTTTAGTGTTAAATGTTTGTTTTGGAAAGCTGAAGTGCAGATACCTGGAGGAAAATTAAGAGAATATTATGAGCCACTTAGGACTAATACTTCTGATAACTAAATGGACAAGTTTTATCAAAGACAAAAGTTACCATGCTACATTCAAGAAGAACCAGATAACCTGCGTAGCTGTTATTAAAGAAACTGAATTTGCAGTTTGAAATCCTCCCCCATGGGAAGCTTTGTGCCCACATGGTCTCGTTGGTGAATCCTGCCAACATTTAATAACAGCTACATATAAACTGTTCAGAAAATAGAAGGAAGGGAAGATGAACTTCCTTATGAGGTCCCTATTATCCTGCTACAAAAACTAAAGGTATTATTTAATAAAATGTTAGCAAACTGAATGCAGTTAATATGGAAGAGACAGTACCTCATGCCCAAGTATTCTTTATCCAGGACTGGAGGATTGACTTCATAGGTGAAGAATCAGTATAATTCATGGTGCTGACAGAATAAACAACAGAAAAACATGTAACTGTAAATGTCATGCATCCATGATGAAAACTTAGAAATGCAGGAATAGAAGGAAAATGTCAGGAAAAAATGGGAACGAAGGGAGCTTGTTTGAAAGAGCTCCATCTAGTATGATCTCTGGTGGAAGAGTGAATGTTTTCACCTGCGCTGAGGGTCAAGGCAAGGCCTCTCACTCTTTCATTCTTACCTTACGTTGTGCAGAGATCCTTGTCAGGGCAGGAAAGCAGAACAAGTGCCCCGAGAGGGAAAGAAGAAATCAGCCAAATGCGGAATTTGCTTTACAAGGAAGCCTGAACAGTGTAGGTGCAGCTTTGCAGTGTGCGATGCAGGGGAGAGGGGAGTGGTGCTGAGTGCCTGCGGGCCCTGTCTGCAAGGGTAGTGGTGGCTGAAATCTGAGTCCAAAAGTCCTGCAGGCCAGGCAGCATTTGTATCACTTGTAATTTTTAATTATTGTTTTCTTTAAAAATGAGCACCTGTAGTTGGGAGAGCTTTGTTTTAGTACCTGTTTGTACTAATATGGGAGGTTTCAGCAACTTTTTGTAAAATTTATATTAAGATACATATAAGACTGTATAGATTAAAAAACATTTGTTTTCAGCAAAGTAAATTTTCTCTCATCAATTTTTCACATACTTTTTGGAGTACCCTTCCAGTGGGAAACCTATGTGTCGTCATTAAAAATTATGTGTTTGCTTAAACTCTATTAAATAGTTTAAAAAAAATACTTAAAGAGCTCTCTGAAATAAAGAGGTCTGTGAATTCTAAGAGGATCACAAATTAATTTTTAAAATGTATCATACCAATATTTAACTTTGAGTGAATTAACATTGTTTTATACACCTGCTGCCTGTGTTTCCAACACATTGGCGTATTTTGTGTAATAATGTAAGTCATTTGCTTTGCCTACTGATTTCAGCTCATTGGCTTTCAGTTATTGGCTTGTCTCTGAGATGGGTGGCAGCAGATAAGGAAACTTGAATTCCAGTGTTGTCTTCCCTGAATGGTTAGGGTAACACATCTAATACCTCTGGGTGGTTTTACTGGAATTACTAATAAGTGCCTTGAATAGACTGCTTCAACATTTCAATGAAAGTATGGAACAATAATTGTGTGCCTTTCCATTTTCATGACCCGTTACTGACCACAAGGGACAAAGCTGAGTTCTTGGCAGAGCGGAGTGGTGTGACTCTAGAATGAGCGAGGACTGTACACTCAGCAGTTGTTAAAAGATAACCTTGGGTTGAAATTGGAAAGTCATACACACATCAGTGTTTGTGCACAATCCGATTAAGTACCTGAGCTTTATTTCCCTGACCTGGGAAACAATAATGTTGGGGAGTGCTTGAACATTACTCAAAGCATCTCTCAGACAGCAGGCACATCAATGGTGACTTCCCTGGGGGTTTTGCTGCGGAAGGATTCTGAGATGTTGGTGTCTGATAGAACCGGGTTTGGAGGTAAGTGCTACATAGAGCTAGCTATGTGACCTAGGGTAAGTTACTTAACCAATTTCTTCATCTGTTTACTGGGCACAGTACCAAAATCTGAAGTTGTCATGGGAGGTAAGACACAATATGTATAAACACATAAGTGAAATGTTTCTGTGGTTCACCATTTAATAAGTTGACTATCTTTAAAGTTACAATTTAATTTTTAGAGTTGATTTCCTATACAGTTACAAGAAATTCTGATGGATCCTCTTGTTGGTAATCGCTGTCTTGGGACATGACATTTAGAGACATGGAGCTGCATGGATGCCGGAGTAGCGCCTGTGAGACCAAGTGTTTAGGTTGCAAAGTTGAAATAACTTGTGTTTCTCTTGCTACTTTTGAAACTATTCAAAGGTTTAAGAGTAGGTGACTAACATAAGCAGTTAGTTTATGCTAGCTTATTTGCACAGTTTCTAGTTAACAAAAATAATGTTTCTGAAAGCTCAGAGCCCCACATTTTGTAGCATGCCTGCTGTGGAGCTGTCAGTGGATTACCCAGCCCTATTTCTGTCGTGACCCCCTGTTTTGTTATGCACATTCTCAGGAAACTGCCAACATTTGATCGTTGTTGATCATCTTCAGCAAAAATGGTGATTTCATAGGGAGCAACTTGATATC